TTTATTATGACTTCCATCCTCCCCTAAGGGAAAGAAAATCCGTAAAATTGTCTGCTCAGATCCCTTTGTTCTAGTTAGGGTCGCCATTGCTGTGATGAAACATTGTGACCAAAGCATTTTGAGGAAGAAAAGGTTTATTTCTGCTTACCTTCCCTGAAACAGCCCCTCACTGGCGATGAAAGTCAGGACAGGAACTCAAACAGGATAGGAACCTGGAGGCAGGAGTTGATGCACAGGTCATGGGGGGAAGCTGCTAGCTGGCTTGCTCGTCGTGGTTTGTCCAACCTTCTTTCTTGTAGAACCCAGGACCACCAGCCTGGTGACAGCACCACCCACCATGGGCGAGGCCCTCCTCCATCAATCACTAATTGAGGAAATGCCTACAGCCTGATCTTATGGAGGCTTTTTGTTTGTTTGTTTGTTTGTTTGTTTATTGGTTTAGCATCCTGACAAGATTCCCCACCCCCAGTCTCCCTGCCCGTCCATTTCCCCTCCTCTGTTTCTCTTCAGAAAAGGGCAGCCTCCATGCATATCAGCCAGGCCTGATCTATCAAGTTGCAGCGAGACTAGGCACCTCCTCTTGTATTAAGGTTGGACAATGTAGTAGGGCAAAGGACCCCAAAACAGGCCACAGAATCAGAGACAGCCCTGTTCCCACTGTTAGGAATTCCACAAGAAGACCAAGCTACACAACTGTCACATAGGTTAGTCCTAAGAAGGCTTCCTGGCTGCAGTTCAGTCTCTGTGAGCCCTTTTAAGGCCAGGTTAGTTGGTTCTGTGGGTTTTCTTGTAGTGTCCTTGACCCCACAGCCTCATACGGTCCTTCCTCCCTGTCTTCCTCAGGATTCTCTGAGCTCCGCCTAATGTTTGGCTGTGGGTCTGCATCTGTTTCTGTGGTCGCTGGGTTAACCTTCTCTGATGACAGTTGTGCTCCATCTTTGGGTTTATCAGAGTATCTTTAGGAATCATTTCATTGAGTTGGACACCTCCCTGTCTCATCAGATGTGACCTTGGGATCTGTAGTAGTAGCCCAGGGAGGGCAAATGTATCTTGTTTGCTGTTTTTGGAAATAGGGTTTCCTGTGACTCAGGCTGTCCTTGAACTCCGATGTTTGAGGATGAGCGTCAACTTCTAATCTTCCTGCCTCTACCAAAAGTGATGGGAGACGGACAACCAAGATGAGTCTCGAGCTGGCACTCTGCTTGGGTGTTGTACTGTGAAGTTGTAGACTCAAGTTCCTTGGAGTTGACCTGTCCGTGTGTAACTCCTGTAGCTGATATCTCAGAGACCCTGATTACCCTGTGATGGTCTTCCTGCTTACCAGAAGATGGCTCCACAGGTGTTAACAGTGTAGACACATGGCACTTTTGGATGGTGCGATGGCAGTGATAGTGCAGTTTCTTCAGATGACCACACCTGTGTCCAGTGTCCCACAGGGGTCCTTTCTGTGCATTTGAGTACCAAGACCTAGACAGGCAGAGTCGCTCGTCTAAGATCACACAGCCGTGAGAATGGGGTGGGACTCTTAACTCAGCAGTGCCCTTTGCCACATCTAAGAAGCAGATACTTTATCAACTTGGGCTCTGAAGAAATACTCATTTATAGTTTTAAGAGACTTTACTTAAAGATGTGATAGAGAGTGGGAAAACACACTTCAGTGTGGTACTTACAGTCACACACTGTCAGGACCAGAGCAAGGCTCGGAGCTGGTTGCTGGAGGGTCCCACATGCACAGTTCATGGGCCTCAGTGAGTTGACAGTCATCTGAAGATTTCAGATGCCTGTAATTCAGTGCTCCACAGGCCGTGTGCCCTGGAGAGAGTCAGGGAATAATGGTATAGAAAACACTATGGAGGGCTCTTCCAGCTCTCAAGCTTGAATAGTTACAGTCCATATCGGTGTAGTTCTCCTGAGAGAGAGAGAGAGAGAGAGAGAGAGAGAGAGAGAGAGACTCACACTGTATCATGTCTCTCTCTGTGTGTGTGTGTGTGTGTGTGTGTGTGTGTGTGTGTGTGTCTTTCTCTGAAGCACCATCCTGAGAAACATTTTTGAGGCAAAATCTCTCATTGGCCTGGAGCACATTAAGTAGCCTGGGCTGGCTGGCTAGCAAGCCCCATGGATCTACCTGTCTCCACCTGGTCAGTGTACTGGAACTGCAAGCTCAGGCCATGTTGTGTGCCTTTGGGGGATGGACTCAAGTCTGCACGCTTTGCTGACTTAGCTGTCTTCCCAGCAACATAGCTCTCACATAGCTATGTGGAAGTCACCTAAACACGTCTGAAAAGTGTCTGCCTGTCCACTGGCTTTGGGTTACAGATATTTTCCTCTTCACCTGAATTTTGGATTTAAAGCATCTCATTGGCTTGTGGGTTTTCTTTAAGCTGGTGTTTCTGTGGCAACTGGCTGTTTCCAGGTACAGTTTTCCCTGGTTGTGGTTTATGTATTAATTTGACTGTAGGTAGACCTCATGAGTAAAAATCAGTACTTAGAAAAGATTATGGGATGTTACCAGAGAGACAGAGGCATGCTAGGGTTTCTTACCCCTTCAATTTGAGAATGGGCAGAGCTGGAAGGACCATGGATGGGAAGGCCAGGGCTCTGAGGTGGCCAGTGAGGGCTCAGGCACATGACTCAGCTGGGTGTGCACAGTAATGGAAAAGTTTCTAAATTGTGCCATCAACTTTAAATATTACATTTTTCCTCTCTTTCCTCCTCAAGAAAGTAGAGGAAAAGTCTCCCCTTTCCCGCCTTTGTGTAGTCAAATAAGGACTAAAAATGAACTCGCTGTGTGGAAGTCAGAGCACTGATTGAATTCCATATTTGTCTTGGAAGGAAATCCAGACTCCTGTGTAATGATGACTGGACGGTGCCTCTGTGTATTCCAGGGCGGGGTCTCTTGACACTCTCTCTCCTTGAGTTACAGAGTCACTGCTAATTGTTTCGTTTTTCTGTTTTCTCATGGCCGACTGTCCCTATGTACACAGTGTATCAGAGTTGTTGAATCTGTTTGCTCGGGGAGGACTTAATTGTAGACGTTCTCAGAGCCCAATGTAATTAAAAACTTTGACAGTTAATGTGAGAGATGAAATGAATACTAGGAAACAGAAAACCTGACTGCAGATGAGAAAGAGAGCTGGGACCCATGACTTTGGGAGGCCGAGTCTGGAGCAGGGCATGGTGGTGCTCACCTGTGAGCCCCACACAAGGGAGGCCGAGTCTGAAGGAATTTGAGACCAGCATCTTTCTCCATTCTTAAAAGGAGGGAAGAGACTTAGTTTCTAAGGAAAGAGTTTAGTGCTCTTATTGTGCAGGGACAGACAGCAGCTGCTCCTGGGGGTGTGTAGGGGCCTTGGGTGTCAAAGGGAGCTTTACTTTTTCTTTAAGACCCTCAGGACCTTGACTGCTGACAGAGCCGTTGTGTGTGGCTTTCCTGTCTTTACTTTGTGAGTTTTATCTATTTTCTTTACACTCTGATGGGGACTGTTCTCTCTGCTGATCCCTAGCAGGTCTTGGAGGTAGAGTGGGAAGGGCATGAGTTAGCCACTCACAGTGGCTTCCTTTTTTTTTTTTTTTTTTTTTTCCCTTATTCTTGTCTAAATGCTAATCCTTCAAGCCTCAAACTTAATCTTTACCAGGAGGAACAGGTGTTTGCCCAGATATCCAATGTTTGGGAGGAACAGGAGTGCACAGTGCAAGAAAGGCCTTGGCTGTTGAGTCAGGCTGTGTTGGCTATAAGACTTGAGTAAGGTGTGCGTCTTTCCATAGTGCTGGTGTCTTCTGCAGAGTTAAGTGACATGTTAGCATGAGTAGAGACTGTATATGTCAAGATATATTGCCTGGCACACAGTTCATGTTAATGAACTATTTTGAGTTATATTGTCATTGTCAGTAACTTTGGAGTAGTGTTAACATTCTTTAATTGTGATGGCATGGAATAGAATAATCACGTCTCAAAGTTTTGATATTTGATATACACAGCTGATACCAGGAAAGTGGTATAAGAAATAGAGGCATGGTGGCACACACCTGTAATCCTAGCACTTGGATGGCTAAGGTAGGAGGAAGACTTCAAAGTCAACTAGGCTGTGTAGCGAGACCCAGGGTCAGTAGACAGAGGGAGAGGAAATAATGGAGGAAGTCATTAAAAGAGGCAGAACTTTCAGAACAGTCATCAGCAGTGGGGCCCTGCGTTTTTTGTATAACCGTTATTTTTCAGTGCTGGTCTCTGACTCACTTAGGGCCTCTTGCCTGTCAGTCAGGTGTGTTCTACCAGAATCTCGTGGCTGAGACCTTAAACGCTTAATCTTCCTGTCTCTACTTCCCAAGTGCAAGAATTACAGGTGTGCACACCATGAAGTCTGGCCACAAATAACATTTTTGAGGAGAAATTGCTGTTTAATTGTAGAAGTGGAAGCAAAAGTCCATGTAGTTTGTCATCCAGCCTGATGGCTTCCTTTCTGTGTGCCTGTCTATGAGGCAGTGAGGTAAAGCACCTATGTGTCAGCACACAGAGTGTTCTACAAAGTTCTGTGGTACTCTATGGTGTCATTAAGATCTGCCAGTCAGCAAGGAGTTGCCACCTGCACTGTGTGGCAGGGACCAGACAGAACAAGCTATCCTGTTTGTGAGTTTAGCATTTGTCCACTTTCGAAACACTCTCCCTGTTAATTAGGTACCTACTGTATACAAGACGTTGTCCTAGAAGCTGAAACTCAGTTGATGAGCTGTGAACTCCAAGGCTTATGTCTGTCCTTTTCCTGAAAGTTTCTATATATCATGAAAGATCTGGACGAGTGTAGCTGAGCTACCCGTTCCTAAAGTCTTTTCTGCTGTGAAAAAGGAGCATATTACCTTTATTGCACATTAATTATTCCTTACACTTTTAACTCACCGAGTTCTCTTTTCTTCCCTCTAAAACCCAGGAAGCACATACTTAATGAGGTCTCAGAACTCTTCCTGATGCTGCTGTGCCTCAGGCCCCCAGCCTGCTGGACCATTCTCACTGTCTCTAACTGCTGAGTAAGCCTCCCTTCCTTCTTCCTTCCTGTGTCCTCTGCATCACTTTCAGCCGCCAGACCCCTGTGCTGCACTGTGAGCTGGTGGAGCACTCATCTCCTGGCTGGTGTCTCTAGCAGGGCTTCCTTGTCAATTCCACGGAGGTACCAGGGCTCCCTGGCTTCACAGTCCTTCCCTGTCGGGTCCCTGCTGTCCTTTCCAGTCCTGTCTTTGACCACTGTCTGCTCTGTTATTCGGGGTGCACCCAGCACCATGTGCCACCCTATGAATAGGCATACTTCTTATGTCAGTTAAATGAGTAAATTTTAAAAAGGTAAAACAACTGTGGAATTTGCATGTAATTAAATATTTTTTTGTAATTATTTTTTTTTTAAAGCTCTGCCCCAGTCCCTCTGGAGTAATTAGCTTTGAATTTTGCGTTTTGGAAGGAGACAGAATGTTCATCCTGTTTACTTAACTAAAAATTACCCTATTCCCTTTTTCTAACCAAATCTAGTGCTGGTAAAAATTTCTGACTCAGTAGTTTTGGAAAGAGCTGCTTCTTTCCAGAAATAGGCACGCTCACACCCTGGGTCGTCTATACTGGTAACTTGCCGTCACGTCAGGAAGCTGGGTGGATGCAGGGACGAGGGACTGGGTCAGGATTAGGCCACGGTAAGGGCCTCCCTAGCTAGTCTAGAGGGGCCGATTGGGAGACACTTGTTTTTACGTCACTGTCCTGTGACTACGAGTGTCCTTCAGTAGCACCAGCATCTCCACCTGGCAGTGAGTCAGGGCTAAGCTGAGCTGCCTGCTGTTTGTATACAGCACTGTAGCTTACATCAGCCTGTCCCTTTTCTGAAGCCCTGCCGTTATTATACAGTCCCACCCAGGCCATTTCTTTTTGCCCCCGATGCCTATCTGGGTTAGTCTATAGCAGTATTGTAAATTCAACAGTATTGTGTGCTTATTTCTTAACTGCTTATACTCCTACTGCCTAATACACCTACCGTCTTCATGATGTGACCACTGTCCTGCCTGCTTTATTTTACTACCGTTATCCTGGAAACCCACTTGGCATGCAAACACTAATGGGCTTGTTTGTTGTTATCTAGCTGTGTAGCCTAGGCTAGCTGCAAACGCATAGTCCTCCTGGAGGAGTACTGGCGTTGCAGGTGTTGCCGTCTCCCTTGTTCGATAGTGGGTTTTTAAATATCTTATTTTGCTGTCTGTAACTATGACAGAAACTGTCAGTTTGTATGTAACGTTTGGAGAGGGGCTTCAGAAAACCACCGTCTTTCATTTCAATCTGTGTGTCTGTGGTAGCAGAAGTCCCTTGGCCAAGGAACCGGAATCAGGCGGAAGCTAAGATGGGGCTGGACGGTGAGCCACATCTTCTCTAAACAGAGGCCCCCAGGGCAGACTCCACGTTCTGTTGGAAGGTGCAGCTGAGGGCAGGGGGTGAGAGGATTCCTAACCAGATACATCATGCAGCTATGAAAAGGAAAGTTTGGTTCCATGTAGTAGCGGTAAAGAAGAGTGTGTATCTAGTTCAGTCAGCCATGTTCTGTGGTTGCTCGTACATACCATCTAGTCTTAGGTCATGCATTTTTTCTATTTTTTTTTTTTTAAAGACAGAGTCTCATATAATATAGCCCTGGCTGACCTGAAACTTGCTGTGTAGACCAGGCTGATCTTGAACTCACAGCTTCCCAAGTGCTGAGATTAAAGGCATGTGCTGCCATACTGGGCTCCTCACCTAGTTTTTGAGGATGTTGTGACATTCTTTTTTTTAAATTTTAGATCTGTTCATTTTATTCTATGTGTATGAATATTTTTCCTGTGTGTTTGTGTGAATACTACATCTATGTGTGGTTCCCATGGAGGTCAGAGGAGGGTATCAGATACCCTGGAACTGGAGTTGCAGATGGTTATGAGCCACCCCGTTGGTGCTGGGAACTGAACCCAGGACCCCTGCAAGAGCAGCCAGTACTCGTATCTCTGCAACCCCTTCTGTAAAATATTGTTCAGAGGCATTAGTTTGTGAAAGCCTGGATTTGTTGCTTTTCCATAAGTTCTAAAATGGAAATATGTGAGATAAATAAAATTGGTTATGAAGAACTTGGTATGAAGAACAGACCTCTCCTCAGGGAGGGAGGCTTGCTGGACTGGCAGTGGGAGATGCCTGCTTTGCAGGCCCAAGTCCCCTGGTTGGTTCCAGTTACCACAGGCTCACTGAAGTGAAAGTGCTAATAACACGTGGCTGAATGCTTTCAGAGCAGGGCTCTGGTGCATTTATTGGTTCTGTAACTGTTGATGTAATCCAGGCTGTCTCTTTGTCCCTGGCTTTGAAAGGCACCCACTTCACACACGGCACAGATAAAAGGACACTGCGAGTTAAGCTTTGTGCCTGACAAGGTAGCTCACAGATACAGAGTCACTGTTTTAGCATAAGACCTGCCAGTGCTGGGGAGGGCTCCTTTCAAATTCTCAAGTAGCAGTTTCAGACATACGCACATGTTGGCTCTTGGTGTTATTTACACATGGGTTTCTTGCGTACGGTAGAAGTTCTTCCATTAGCAAAACTGATGGACGTTTAAGAACTTAGAGAGGAGTGATGAACAAAAGGGTCAAGACCATGCTGAGGAAACCCACAGAAACAGCTGACCTGAGCAAGTGGGAGCTCATGGACCCCAGTCTGACAGCTGGGGAACCAACATAAGACGGAACCAGGCCCCCTAAACGTGGATTTTTGTCTAGGAGGCCTGGGGAGTCTATGGGCCCTCTCTCAGTGGAACCAGAATTTATCCCTAGTGCATGAATGGACTTTGGGAGCCCATTCCCCATGGAGGGATACTCTCTCAGCCTAGACACATGAGGGAGGGCCTAGGCCCTGCCCCAAATGACGTGACAGACTTTGATTATTCCCCATGGAAGGCCTCAGCCTCCTTGGGGAGTGGATGGGGTATCGGTGGGGGGCATGGGAGGGAGAGAGAACTGGGATTGATATGTAAAATAAGATTGTTTCTAATTTAAATAAAATTTATTTTTTAAAAAAGAACTTACTGATTGTGCAGTGAAAGAAAATCAAAACCAGTACAGACTCCAGTTGTCATCATCCCCCTCCCCCCTCCCCCCATCCAGCATTTGAGCAAGATACATGCTGCAGTAAAGGTTTTCATTTTATGGAAAATATGAGAAAAACACATGAGTTTGAGTGGAGGAGAATTAGGTTATCTGTAAGAAGAACTTTGAGCACAGGCTGCCAAACAGATAAGAGGGGGAGCTACTTTCTCGGTGCTAGGGACAGCACCTCCTACAATGTTCCTTTTGGGGCTGTCCGAAGGCAGCTTGGCCCTGAACTTCACCCCTAGTTCCCTGGCAGGGCGTCTATGCCAGGATCCCTTCTCCCCTTCAGTGGTGACTAAGCTTCCTGCCCAGACAGTAAAGCATTTGGAAACCTGAGCATAGACAGTGTCTATTTTAAAACTCTGACATAGTTGAGAGTCCATCCATTAAAAAGATGGTCCTTAGGCATGCTGAGCACAGCTTGCAACCCTCAGTAGGATAGCAGTGACAGGGAGGGGGGGCACTTGGGTGATGGCCAGCAATGCATTATCCAGACTGGGATGTGGTCCTGATTTTAATAAAGAAAGGGGCTGGAGAGACGACTCTGGGTGGAGCTCCTACCACACAAGTATGAGAACCTGAAGTCAGACCCTCAGCACCCATGGGAAGCCAGAGACGGTAGCTTGAACATCTGTAACCCTAGGTCTCCTACAGTGACATGGGACATACAGACAGGAGAATTCTCAGAAGGTGCCACCAGCTAGCTTGGCCTAGGCAGAGGGGAACTGAAAGGAGAGCTGGCCTCCAACGAAGTGGAGGGGAGGACTGACCTCCACACTTGCATTCACACACGATAACTTACGGACATTGGCTCAAATAAATGAATAATAATAAACTTAATGTCTGAGTATCCAAATCTTAGTTTACAACTAATTTTACTTAATCTTTTAAGTCTTTGAATTATGTGTAGTGGTTTGATGTGAGCCTGTGGATTTATAGGAATATAAGTCTTCTGAAATATAATCTCCATTCTCCTGAAATAGCCAAGTTCTTACATTGTGAGGCTTTTCTATGCTGAGAACATGAAGTCACTTAAAAACTGTTAGCACTGTGGTGTGACTTCAGCTGCTTAAAATGGGATGTGACAGCTGTGGCATCCAGATGTGGTGTCCTGATGTCTGTGGAATGAGCTTTTCCATAGACAACAACAGACACATCAGGGAGGTAGGCTTGGTGCTGCACACCATTAATCCCAACACTCGAAACAAAGGCAGACAGACTTCTGTGAGTTAGAGGCCAGCCAGATCATAGTGAGACCCTATCTTGAAGAAGGAGAGGAGGAGAAGTAATTATTTACAAGTCATAGAAAGATACTTAATTCATTGTTGTCAAAGAAACGTGTAAACAAAACCAAGATTCCTCTGTAGTGGACATCAGCGGGGCTGTCAAGAAGCCCCGGGGTTGATTTTCCTTCTTTGAATTCAGTTTTTGACCCACACATAAGGTGAGAGGGGAAGCAGTAACTAGGGTTAGATTGGGATCTTGTGTTAGAGCAGATGGGGACCACGGAGTCTGGGCTGGTGCCGTGTCAGTGTTGACTGTGAGCTTCTCTTTAGGACTGTGCAGTGTCCTAGAATGCCACTGCCCTGCACACTCCCCAGCTTCACTGTGGGCCACCGCATAGCCTGTGTACCACCCTTGGTCTGTGGGATACATGGCCTGTCTTTCCACACCACACACGTGGGCTGAATAGGCTGTTCTACCACACCCCATAGTTTGTTCTCCCATGTGTCTGTGGGCTCCACTTCTGGAAGGTGAGGGGGATGGAGGGGCAGTTCTGTCCCTTGGTGACAGATAAGATAGTCTTTACATCACTTAAAGGGACAGTTTTCCGTAAGCAGAGTTTGCTTTTGAAGGTCTAACCCTGTACTCAGCTGTATTTTTCCATAGTAGAA